ACTTTATAATTACTGAAAATACACTATTATTTCATTCACTGTTGAAATTGACTTCAACTTTATTTCAAACCATTAAATTTTGTATCGGTGACAGTCTGGATACAGTGATATTTTAAAACTCATATAAAAAATGTTTTTACTCTCAAAATAATGCCAGGAATATTTTTGATAACTACATAATATAGAATATAGAAATATGAAATAATAAATCAAAGAAAATAATATTTTTCATCATTTCATTGAAATATTTCAAGAAGAGTAAATTTTCAATTTTTAAATATATCAAATTCAGAACCCTACCTATAGTAGGCACTACATACGTATATATATGTTTAGGTATTTCTGATTTCAAGATATTTTAATATATTTTAGATTCTAAAATCTAAACGAAGCGATAAATTGATCGATGTTACAATGATTTGTGATTTTTTTCCTTTGTCTGTCTTTAAAACAATTTTTATTTTCAATAATTTTTAGTGTGGTATTCCATTATCTATATTTGATTAAAGTTGATCTGACCATTCTTTAATTGGTGTCATTACTAATTCGTATATTCTAAAGTTTTAAACATAAATTATGCAATATTGTATGAAAGAAAATTGTTATTAATTCAAAATGTATGATACTTGATGTACCTATACTTATTGTCTATTAACTTTCTGAGTGTTTTATATTTTTTTTTCTTTAAATATAAAAAAGATTCATTCATGACAATCAATTTTTGAAGATTCATTTTTTGTTGAAATGTTTGTGGCTTACATATTTTACTAAACAAAATCAATTATCCATAAAGTGAAAAAAGTACAGTTTATTTATTATATACTTATTATATACTTTACTAAATATAAATAATATATATTATGGCATATGGGACCATTTTGGAAAACTGGAATTTGGGGATTTTAAATTTGACTATTTTATCAAGACAATTGGTCATGGTTAGTCTTTAGTGATATACTATGATATATATGCATGTCAAATACCTATTTTCTTTACTGTAATTGTAATTTTTATGTTTTATAATATACCTATTATATTCTATAATGTGTAAAGTACGCGGCCGCAGGATATATAATCACACCCACGGAAAAATAAAATTAGGTACTCATACCTAATCTTATATTAGTGATATTGATATAAAACTCAGACCAGTTAAAAAGTACTAGTTCTACGCAGTTCTAGGTTTTAATCAGTTAATAATTTCCAGGGATGGAATGGCTCCTCCTTAAATCTGTTATACTTATACCATATCTGTATATATAAAAGAAGAAGTCCTGACTCACGACTGACTTATTCATAACCAACACACATTACACACAGCCTAAACTATGATTGCTAGCGATTTGAAATAAGAAAGGATTTTGAATAATTTTGATATTAGGGAGTTGAAATGGACCAAAATCTAAATTTTGCATGGGATAATAATAATATTAATAATCCTAAGCCATAATAACATTGTTTATTATACTACTTATATTATTATGTGGTAAGTAAAATATTTTATCACTTATGTACACATTGCCTTAACGGTGTGATTTAGGTACTATGGTCTATATATATATATTGTGGTCACTAGTCACTACTCATTATAGTAAACAAACTTAACAACGTCTACTTTACTTCTCAACAATACACATACAAGTGATAAGTGTATATTTTATGAGGTACACAACAGTGATTCTATACAAGGTCAATTTAATATTATACAAATGTCAAATATATGATTTGGTTTACCTTTTTTTTTTTGATTCCAATGCCTAAAAATAATTGATTATATAAAATATAAACCAAGATCACATTAAGCGGATCTATAACTGCATCTACAGTCCTTATTTAGTTGACTTCAACTTAGTTTCTAGTTGGAAATACTTTATTTTGTACAAAATTTTAAAATGTACGATGTACACCCTGCACTAAGATAGATATTTACCGGTGTGCTGTTGGGGAAGATCTACGAATCGTCGAGACATTGCACCCGTTACTGCAGATCTCACCTACATATATAGTGCGCCATATAATATATCCGGCTGCATGCACCGATGACAAAACTCCTAAAACACCCCTCTGAACAATATGTACAAACACAAACCTGTACAACATGTTATATTGCAAATTACCATTGTTCACTGCGCAGTAGCGTTATATTATATTGCAGCTAGAATTTTAGTTTATACTACAATATACTATACCTAAGCTGAATATTATAATATATTAGGTAGGTATGTGTCGTACCCATATAGGTACTGCATGTCGTGGTCCACGTGTGCGCGTGTTTGTTTTTGTGTTTGTACATTCATATTATGTATATTATTTTTATGTACCTATATATAATAAACGTGTGCATATTGGCTGTATGGCATATGCCGACATGTAGTACGTGCCATGTAATTGTGTATAGGTAAACGACGTGCACGTACCTATATCATATATGTATAATATTATGTATAGCTGCGGCGCGTATAGCACGGGTCACAAGTTCCCAGTTTGTACTGCTTGTAGTCTATACCGTGTCCGGACTTGTGTTATTTGTACTTTTGAACTTTTTTTTTTTTAATAATATCACAAATAAAAAAAAGGTAGGTATAATAATATGTAGGTAAGCGCAACTTGAAAACGTTTGCACGGCTTACACTTAGTAATTTATAGTATCTACAAGAATAATATGTGGCTATACAATGGTACAAACAACGTTATAAGTATAAAATATGAATTAAGATATCATACGTATTTTAATAATGGTGCCAATATACGAAACGACGAAAGTACATAATTAAATGAAAAATAGTAATTGAGTTTTATATTTTATGAACCAATACTATATAGTATATATTATTATCAATACAAACAAAAAAAAGTTGTCCGCGGTCGGTTTATTATGTAGTGTCTTGTAATAATATTTTAGTTTTATTTTATTTATAAATCCTGTTTAAGTATTTTTATTTTTGTTCAAATTATATTATAACTTATTTTAATTTGTTAGTATTAAATTTTTATTTTGCTTTAGCCTGTTTTTCACAAACACAATGTAATATTATTATACCTTTCTATGAAAGTATAATATGACAATTAACATAAAAATATAATAAGTAAATAACGAAACAAGAAGCAAATTTTTCGGGGGGTATTTGAACACCCAAAACACCCTTCTGTGTACGTGCCTATTGCATATAAAAACTCATCAGCCACAGTTTAAAATATGTACTTTGATGTATTAGATGTTTAGATGTATTGGGCGCAATATTCACAATTTTCTCGCTTCGTTAGGCTCAACCTTTATACTCGTCCCGTTAATAATATTTAGGGATGAAATGTGTGTGATGTATTGAATGTATGTTTTGCTGGTGTTCACGGTTGGATTGCTACTTGCGAATCGGCACAATTTAAAGACAATGATAACATCACGTGTACCTACCCCTGCAGCGCCGAAACACATAACTTTGTGGTATAGTTATGTAACAACTATAATGTGCGACGTACGCAATTCGAATTCTACGAACAGGTCGTATGCTTATATAATAATATTATAATAACTAATATCGTCTGTATTTTACGGGCTTTTATGCACATACACAATGTCAAAATGATTACTCGATAAGATATTATTTGTTTTGACGCACTCTGGCCCATTTAAAAGGCAAACCGAATAATTGATAAACACAGACAACTGACCGAGTAATAAGGAAAAATTATCACTTTGAGCGTAATGGTTCTCCGCTGGTTTTTTAAGTACCTATACATGATTAAATAAAATACAGTATTACAAAATAGAATTATCCTAATACCTATACTTGAAAATTCAAAAACTTTTTTTCCTAAAGCCTATACAATTAAATACTTTCTACCACCTGACAAAACCCTTATACATGGTGTCCCTTGAAGATATACCATAGACATATTAATAAATTGACTGCGCCTCCCATAACCCCGTCTATGTCACCGTCAGACCAACATTAGAAAGAGATCAAATATGTTATACATGTATATGAAAGAGATAGAGAGTATAGTAAGAGAATCATAACAGAAAGAATTAGATATCAAGGAATGATAAGCAAAATTTGGAGGTGGAAACATTTTTAAAAACAATGTTATGAATGTATTACAATTTTTTTTACTCTATAATATTTGATTACTTCTTTTATGCTCGTCTGAAGATAACGTATGCCATCTTTTTCTAATAATGTTGGTATACGAACCTCTCTATCCACGACCAGTCCAATTATTAATATGTCTATAGGATATACCCATTAGCGGTAGAGGGGGACTAGCCAACCTGAGAAAAGCCGGTTTTTTGCCGTTCACCTATAAACCCACAAAAAAAAAAAAAAAAACCATGAGCTTAATGGAAATAAAACATTGAAAAGACAACATTTTCACAAAAATAAACTCTATAAAATGGCCATCTTCAATAGTTCCAAAAATAAAAAAATAAAATAATAATTTTTTTAACATTTTTTACCTAAATATCAAATTAAATTAAAATATAAAATATGTGTAGTCCTTGTCTCTATGAGTCTAATAAAAAAAAAAACAGATTTATGATATATTTATTATCTCAGGAGATATCGCAATGGGTAAATCCTCGAGGGAAACCAATAAACTATGTATATGTAATTACTAATTAACATCAACAGTTGGATAAAACTTTTAGGTAAGTTGATTATCTAGTTAAATATCGTGTGCATTGTATACGAAAATCAGCAGCTCGATAATGTTGTTAATATCGGAAAATTATTTAACGAATTTACAGAAAAAACGTAGCCACAATAATGCAAAATGGGATAGTTTATCTGTGTTTTTTGTGTTTAGAAACCTAAACCTTAAGGTGCGTCTCCACTGCATGTGGCTAGGCCGCGCGGCTTAGCCGGGTGGCCTGGTGGCTCGGCTTTAGCCGCTCGGCCTACCCGTCCCCACTACAATCGGCTTTCTACCAGCAACAAAATATTATCAATATAAATCAGTATTAGTTTATTAAGTATTTAGTGTATTTAGTTTTCATTAAAATGTCGTGCGATCAGGACGTATTAATAGCTGCCGCGGCGTTCATAGTCACTGCGAATAAAAAAATTAAAAAAAAAGCGAAACCGCGGAGATTCTGGGTACGACCTAGTCTTCAAAGTCGTGAAATTTACAACACAAGTCATCTTTTATCCGATTTAATATCAGATGATACTGATATATTAAATCTAGAATATAGATGCAATGGAGGTTTCAGAAACTTTTTTAGGATGTCACCTTCTCAGTTTAATGAATTATTAAACATGGTAATTCCTAGTATCACGAAAAATGACACTAATTTTAGAAAAGCAATACCTGCTCAAGATCGATTGGCTATAACTTTGAGATTCTTGGCAACAGGCGACTCTTACCATTCACTATCATATTTATTTAAAATTTCAAAACAAACCATTTCAAAAATAGTACCAGAAGTATGTAAAGCAATTGTGGATGTTTTAAAGGAATATGTAAAGGTAAGTAATAACAATAAATAATAAACAAAATTAATTACCAACACCAGTTTTTAATGTAACATCATAATTGTTAAACAACTAACATACATAACTAAATTTTTATAATCTTATATTTTGAAAATACGCCTTGTATGAAAAATTAAGACACATCACTTAATTAATAATACAGAAATACAGAATAAAATAATATCTGGTATTTTACAGGTACTCTGTAAAAAATAATATTAAAACATATGACCTCTATATTATGTTAATAGGAAAAATAGTTTGAAAAAAAAAAAAAATAAAAGTAATAATATTTAGCAATTATAGTTTTTACTATACATTTCCCCTGCTTTTGAACTCTGTGGGGCCATAGTATAATCTATTTGTTGGGTATCAGGAGGAGTAAGTTCTAAAGATGAGGATGAAGACCAGGATGTAGAAAAATTATTATTTTCTGTTGATGGCTGAATATTAAAACTCTGATGTTGAGTAGATGTAGATGGAATGAACCCATAGCTATAATTATTAAAAGCTGGACTGACAGTAAGAGGGTTAGAATTTGTATTAGGATTAAACTGATTTACAGGAGGATTGTCATACTTGCCAAGTTCAGCTTCCCATAAAATATTGTTTATAAGATGTTGTACAGTGATTTTTGCATAATTAGTTGAAAGCTTACTAACTTTACACCCCACTTGCTCACCAAAAATGTGGTACTCATTTCTATTATTTCGTTCGTTGAACAGTTTTTTCATTATAGAGTAAGCTTCATTTACCTATAGAGTAAATAATTATTTTTAAAGTCATCAAGTAGGTATAAAACAAAAAAAAATTCTTATAACATTTAGTTGATGTTTTACTAATTTCTTACCATTGATTCATCTTTATTTTTTCTTCTTGACGGAATTTGAGTTTCATCGGCAGATCGTTTTTGTCCACCACTACTTTTATTACTAGATTCTCTAGTTGTCATTGACAAATCTTCAGAAATTATGGAACTATTATTAATTTTTGAAATCACACTCTCTGTCACAACATCAATCATTTCTTCAGTATCATCATTTTCGTTCAACTAAAATGTAAAAAAAGGTGGGTAAGTGGATTTTGCTCTGATGTACAGTAGGTTTCAAGTGGGTCACTGTGTAAAGGATGGTATTAAATTTGAATTCAATGATATAATATCATTCTATAAGAAAAACGATTCTGAGCGAAGACGGTCAGTCAGCCTATAGTATCTTAAATTTTAAATTTAATAAATTTTGTCAAAATTCCAACCTTAAATGCTTATTAAAAAAAACCGATTTTGCGTAAAAATTCCCGTTTTTCCTTAATTTTTATTTTGTTTTTCCGTGCGCTTAGGAAAACTATTGGGAGTTTTAAACTTTGATCTCCCAAAAGTACCAACTAGATTCACATTCCCGTTGAACAAGATACTGAAGTTGAAAATCGAAGCATTATTTCGACTAATCGTCTAATATGGTACTAATCGTGCACACAGACACAAAAATAAAAAAACACACATCATTGTAAAACCAATACATTCATCGCTCCGCTCAGAGTCTAAAAATTAATAGTTTATTTAGATACGAAAAAGAAAAAGAAATAGTCATAAAGTAAAATTTAAATAAATGTGTAGTAGGTATTAAAGCCATAAATAAAAATATTTATATTTAGATTTTTTGTAAAAACTTAAGGTAGGCATTAATGTCTACAAGTTAACATTTTAAGTGAAGTTACTTCGGACATGTACCAGTTGCCCCCAACCAAATACAAGTATAATATAATATATATTACGTAAAAATTACATATAATATATAATAATTACTTCTATATAAATAAAAATTAAATGCGGTTCGTTGGTATATAAGCTCATTGTTTGAGAACAGTTCTACCGACTTGCCTCATTTTTATAATTTCTATTTTAGATGCCGAAAAATGAATCTGAGTGGAGACTGGTCGCTAGAGAGTATGAAGCAAAATGGAATTTTCCGAATTGCGTTGGCGCGATGGACGGAAAACACATAGCTGTTCAAGCACCAGAGTGGAGTGGCACTGACTATTACAACTATAAACAATTTTTCAGCATTGTTTTATTTGCTATAGTTGACGCAAATTATAACTTTATTTATGCTGACGTAGGATGTCAGGGAAGAATATCTGACGGAGGAGTTTTTAATAATACATCATTTTGTAAATCCATAGAATTATGTACGCTTAATTTGCCTCCCGATGTTTCTCATCCAGGTAGAACAGTAAAATCCCCTTATGTTTTCGTCGGTGACGATGCGTTTCCGCTTTTGCGCAATATTTTAAAACCATATCCAGGAATTCAGGAAAAGGGGTCAGCCAATCGTATTTTTAACTACCGTTTAAGTAGGGAGCGTAGAACATCGGAAAATGTCTTTGGAATATTATCCTCTGTTTTTCGAGTTTTCCGGAAACCATTACTTTTAGACCCAGAAAAAGCAACAAATGTTACTCTTGCAGCTATTTATTTACATAATTACCAAAGAAATAGTCCTTCGAAAAAAATATACTGTCCTCCTGGTACTTTAGATTCAGAATGTTCAGATACTAGAGTAACTATACCAGGAGCTTGGCGAAAAGATAGTTTAGAGCAAACTTCGTTTAATAATTTTCCCAGGGTGGCACGAAAAAGTTCGTTGGATGCTACAGAGGTGAGAAATGAATTTAGGGAATACTTTTTAACAAACGAAGGACGGGTATCCTGGCAGTATGAAAATTCATAAATGACTAATTATTTTTATTATTATTCAATTTTATTGCAAAAAAAATATTATTTATTATTTTAACAATTCGCGGTCTAGCCATTTATTGAAAATGATATTTGATTAAATTGATAATATTTTTTATTATTACATTTAGATTTTGTAAATATCAGTAGGTATATTATGTACTTATTTATTAATTTTAAAATGTATTTATCTTTTTATTTATTTGTATATTTTAAAATATTATTATACACTTTATTTATATTTATATTCATAAATATATTATACATGCATATTTATTGTAATCTATATTACTAAACATAATATTATGTTACAGTTAAATATTATTATGATTATACACTAACATTATTTGTAAAATAAAAATAATAGGTACATACCTCTGTATTCACCGTAGTTCTCGGTTTGTTCCTATCTAACAGGAATTCCATGCTCTTAAATGCAAACCATTTTCCTTCATATGTCGAAGCCCCACTTCCAGATTTTGTATTTGCAATTTTTTCTTCTCTAACTCTCTTGGACTCTCTAGAAAAATGGCTTGTAAGGTTTTTAATCTTTCTTTCAACTTCGTCCTTCTCTACATTTAACGAATTGGCGATCTCGTTCCAAGCGTCGTATCGTTTTTCTCGAAGTTTATACTCAGATAATTTACAATCCCATAACACAGGATGTAAACGATAGGATTCGATAAGTTGCAGAGTTTTATCTTGACTCCACTCCATGTTTGATATTTAAATGCAAATTAATTTAACTTAACACTAGGTAAAAGTGTATAACGGCGAAGTAAGTTAACGATTAATGATCACCTTGCAAGTTGGGAGTTGCAATTAAGTCTAGACATTCTAGACGTCTAGTAGGTAGGTACATTAACGTTGTGATGTGCGACTTCCTACTTATATTTACAATAATATGTATATATTTGTTAATTTAAAAATAAAATTCAATATTGGACGGTCTTAATAATAATTTTAATTAAATATGAATAGTTCTACGAAAAGTTAAAAATAACATTTTATTCAAGTCTGTTGTGCACGAATCCTCGCAATAGCCAATATTGTAGTTATGTCTAAGTATTGATTTTCTTAGAATTAAAATACTTAAATTAGTCATTAAATAATATTATATACTATATAATATACTAATATAATATATTATACCTTTCACAAAATGTCCATTACCTATATTCTTTCATGTAATAATCCATATTATGCTTGTGATAGTAATAATAATAAATTTGTACTTCCCGGTTCATCAAGTCAGTCTGAAAACCTACGACTCGAAAAAACTATTTTTCAAACAATATACATTTTATAAAACCAAAAATGTCAGTTAAAAAACTTTGAAATATCTGCAAAACACGTACCTTGGTAGATTTTCAAACAAATTAAATTATATTTAGATCAAAAATAATTATAGTAGTAACTATATTAAAAAATCAGTTTTTAATAATTAGGGAATATTATTTGAAATAAATCACAGTAGCATTTTGTATAAAAAATCATTATTCGGCCGAGCGGCCAACGTCCCCACTAAATATGCCACGCGGCTTTCTTTGATGTTTACCGACAACCATCGGGAACCCGCGGCTTCGGCCGATCGGCTACAAAAGCCGCGCGGCCTCGCGTCCACACCAAAATATTGAAGCCGGTCGGCAAAGCCGCCCGCCAGTGGGGACGCACCTTTTTACACGACAATATAAATCGAAATATAATGTTTAATATAATAGGCTTGTATTGACATATCGTAGAGTCATATATTCTTATTTTTCTCAGTATACATAATGTTATATTAGATGTAGTCTATTATCTACCCGAATCACAATCTCATGAGTCAAATAGGTCATAGTCCATAGTCCATAATTATTATTATACCGAGACTTGAAACTTTAATTCAAGATTTCTTTTAAGTAGTTCATACTAAAACCAAAAATCTAAAACATGTTTAAACACAGTTTTTTTTATAGACTATTTGAAGTTTAAATTTGTTCAAAGTTCAATAGATAATGACAAAATAATATTAGAGAGTTTGAATCTGAGCGTTCAGATGAATGTATTTGTGTAAACAATGATAAATAATATATATTTTTATTATTTTAATATATTTATATATTTTATTATAATTATCAATATCTACATTTAATTCCCTTGCTATAATGCAATAGCCAATAACCGTAATCTTTAATTGCTTTGTAAACATTATACGTTATCATATCTTTAAATATACAAATATCATATTAAACTTATATAGTTATATGCTAAATTAACAAAAACTTACAAGGGGAACCATGTGTTAACAATAAATAAATATTTATTTATTTTATTTATTTATTTATTGTTATAAATAGATAAATTAAATTTTTTAATATTTGACCGAAAGAAAAATATTTTATCGACAATAATTAAAAAAAACTAATAAAAATCGAAATTTTCTTGTCTATAATCAGGTTAAAAAAATTCAATATATTTTGTAAATGTTAAGAGGTTTAGAGAATATATTATAAATGTTTTGTAGAAATTTATAATATTTAAACCTTCATCTACGGTTATTATTTGTTAAGTTATATAAAAAAAATGTTTAAGTTTTTCATTAAATTTTTCCTGGTAATTCCAGATACTTTTGAAAATCACTGAGAATTTTACTTTTGACCCTCAAAACTACCAAATAGATTCTCTTTCCTGCCAGAAAAAATGCTGAAAAGAAAAACACACATAGTTGTAGAATCAATACATTCATTGTTCAGATCTAAAAATACAAACATTTGTTAAAATTTTAATATTATTATTAAAATAGTTGAGTGGTAACCTTGGTTAAACAAAAGTTGGACCATCTTTGTTTGGAGGATGGAGTTTTCAACATTTCAAAGTTATACAGCATAATATGCTTAAAATGTATTCGGTCTCGAATAAAGACAAGGGCCACGGGTTGAAGATTCCTGGCTCAGACCGTCTTCGATTTTTTACTTTCTATAAATGTCAATAAAAAAATACTTATAGTAAAATAAATTAATTTAATACCAACATAAAAGTACATTCATAATTCCATTAAGAATCTAAAATATATCGTGAAATATAGGTAAGCACATATTAATAATATTGTCTTTTGGCTCAGAACCGTTTTATTCGCAAGCAATAATTTATCAATTGAATTCAAATTTAACTCGCACATTACAGTGACTTACTCAATGACTTACTCAATGTATATCCTACTGGCTACTCGACATAATCTACTGTACAGCAGAGCGGTTACCTACTTCCGATGTTTTTAATGGATTCTCAAAATGTTTATCGTTTAATATACTCCTGTTAATATTGACACCGGTGTCGGTGTGACCTACTTATAACGTTTTTCAAAGGTAAAATTCGTCGTATAACAATATTGTTTTTTTTTAATCAACTTCAAAAACTCGTGAACCAAATACTCGCTTTCAATAATGTTTCACAGGCACCGATCCTATTACTTATTTTAACTATAAATGTATTTCGATTTTATTCTTGAAATCGTTACTGATCGGTTTACTGGTGTACACACAACACACTTAAAAACGTCATTCTTTAATTTTACACTCAATTTTCGACATTATTATTGGTAATACTAAAGGTTCTATTATGGGTCTCATATACTACTATAAGCAGATCTCAAAAGTACTTAAAAAAATGTTTAATATAAAATACATTATAATGTAACAATGTACTGTTTTTTAAAAATTTAATTTACAGGAAGGTTTCCTATACAACTATAATGATACCTGTAATCTATTAAGAAATTATGTTACTGATTTAATTTTTCTGATTTAATCAGTGTATTTAATATTTTTGGTAAACGGAAAAAAAGTCCGGGGAAAAAATGTCCGGGAAAAAAAGTCCGAGGAAAAAAAGTCCGGGAAAAAAAGTCCGAATAAACGGAAAAAAAGTCCGAGAAAAAATTATTTAAATATAAATTAGTTATTACATTAAAATAAAATTAGTTCCTAGAAAAATATTAAACAAAAATATTTTATTAAGCTTATTTTTTTTCAAATAATATGTTTTAATCGCTCTGTATGTCTACTATATGGAGACAGGTTTACACAATGATATTTCAGTTAGGGTCCAGGGGTATTTCCGTATAAAACTAATGAGTAACATTACTACAACTTATCTAGAATATACCTACCTAAGATATAATATTATATCACTAGTATAGTCAACTATGTGTCCTAGGTCATAGCAGTGTTAACAGTAATAGTGTAGTACATAATTTTATAATAATCATCATAATGGATAGTGTAAAATTAATAAAAAATGGAAAAAAAATTGTTTGTGGTGGATTTACATCAGGGGCGTACCCAAGGGGGGGGGGGTCGGGTCCGGACCCCCCCCCATTGAGATATTTACATTTACACAATTGTTTAATAGTAAATCGTATAATAAGAGTATATTTAAGAACTTGGAAGAAAAATCTGAATGTCTTGATATACAAATTTGTATTCCAAGGACCTGTAAGCGTCAAATCAATCGCTGTAACATAATTAGTAAATCTCCAGAAGAATACTTCAAAATATCAATATTTATACCATTTTTGGATTACTTTTTAGATCAAATAAATAGTCGTTTTATTGAACACAAATTGGTTTTAAAAGGTTTTAAAATGTTATTTAAAAATGAATTGGACAATAATAATAACGACATTTTACAATTGATAGATTTTTATAAAAATTCGGATAATTTAAGTGAACCCGATATTGTAATAGCAGAAATTAAGATGTGGAAAAATGTCTTAAAAAGAACTGAAGAAGATCAAAAGCCAAAAACTGTAATACAATTTCTACAATTTTGTGATGAAGACTTGTTCCCAAATATATACAAGTTAATAAAAATATTATGTTTATTACCAGTCACGACATGTACTTCTGAGAGAAGTTTCTCTTCATTAAAAAATCTTAAAACATATCTCAGAAATACTGTATCGGAAGACAGACTAAATGGACTTGCAATGCTTAATATTCATCGAAATGAAATCTTAACACCAGATGATATAATTGAGGAACTTGTAAAAAAAAACAGGAGATTAAAATTTTAAAATAATTTTAAGTTAAATAATGTAATTTTTATAACCTTTCTGTATATGTGCTGTGAGTGTGTGTATAACTATTGACTATTGTAAGTAACTATATTATAGTTATTAACAGTAATATGTTGGTAATGAATTAAACTATAATTATAATTAGAGAACAGATAAAATAAAAATTTTGGACCCCCCCATAAAAAAATCCTGGGTACGCCTCTGATTTACATATACAATCCAGCATAAACTAAAAAAAAGGTGGGCAAGTGGGTGTCGCTCTGCTGTATAGTAGGTTACAAGTGGGTCACTGTATAATGGATGGTATTAAATTTGAATTCAATGATATAATATCATTGTATAAGAAAAACGATTCTGAGCGGTGATGGTATGTCAGTCTATGTATAAGGCATATTATATACATATCTATGGTATTAAACAAAAATTGACCTATAATAGGTACCTACCTATAATAAATTCCAAATTAATCATATCACAATATCCATTAGATACTTATAATGCGTTATACATCAACAAAAACCGTGGTACTATCATAGATATATAATAGTACACTTTAGAAGTTTCAGGTACCCACGAATAATATTATTCAATCACAACAAAATAACTAAAATCGTAATTCTTGGTTTAAATATGAAATTTTGTCTAAATTTGAAATTAAAAT